ACATTATTTGGGTCCCTGGATTAACAGTCCAGCAATAATACCACTGGGCCATCACCTCCCCTAGTTCAGGACACACCCACCATTGGGAACACCCTCCCTGCATCTACCCTGTCCAGTCCTGTTAGAATTTTATAAGTCTCTGTGAGATCCCCCCTCATTCGTCTGAACTGTAGCGAAAGCAATCCCAACCTAGTCAATCTCTCCTAATACGTCAGACCCACCATCCCCGGAAGCAGCCTGGTAAACCTTCGCTGCACTCCCTCAAGAGCAACAACATCCTTCCTCAGAAAAGGGGACCAAAATTGCACACAATATTCCAGGTGTGGTCTCACCAAGGCCCTGTACAACTGCAACAACACATCCCTGCTCCTGCACTCAAACCTCTCGCAATGAAGGCCAACATACCATTTACCATGAATCACAGAAGGTAGGTCTGCAGGTAAACAAGTAATTAGGAAGGCAAATGGAATTTTGTCCTTCATTGCTAAAGGGATTGAAATAAAAAGCAGAGAGGTTATGTTGCAGCTGTACAAGGTGCTGGTGAGGCCACACCTAGAGTACTTACTTGAGAAAGGATGTACTGGCACTGGAGGGGGTGCAAAGGAGGTTCACTAGGTTGATTCCGGAGTTGAGGGGGTTGGCTTATGAGGAGAGACTGAGTAGATTGGGATTATATTCATTGGAATTCAGAAGATTGAGGGGGGATCTTATAGAAACATATAAAATTATGAAGGGAATAGATAAGATAGAAGTAGAGAGGATGTTTCCACTGGCAGGTGAAGCTAGGACAAGAGGGCATAGCCTCAAGATTAGAGGGAGCAGATTTAGGACTGAACTGAGAAGGAATTTCTTCACCCAGCGGGTTGTTAATCTGTGGAATTCCTTGCCCAGTGAAGTAGTTGATGCTACTTCAGTAAACGCTTTTAAAAAAAAGTAAATTTATTTTGAACAATAAAGGAATTAAGGGATACGGTGAGAACGCGGGTAATTGGATCTGAGTCCACGAAAGGATCAGCCATGATCTTATTGAATGGCGGAGCAGGCTCAAAGGGCCAGACGGCCTACTCCTGCTCCTAGTTCTTGTGTTCTTGTGTTCTTGTGTACCTTCATAGAACATAGAACATTACAGCGCAGTACAGGCCCTTCGGCCCACGATGTTGCGCCGACCTGTGAAACCAATCTGAAGCCCATCTAACCTAAACTATTCCATTATCATCCATATGTTTATCCAATGACCATTTAAATGCCCTTAAAGTTGGTGAGTCTACTACTTTTGCAGACAGGGCATTCCACACCCTTACTACTCTCTGAGTAAAGAACCTACCTCTGACATCTGTCCTATATCTATCACCCCTCAATTTAAAGCTATGTCCCCTCGTGCTAGCCATCACCATCCGAGGAAAAAGGCTCCCACTGTCCACCCTATCTAATCCTCTGATCATCTTATATGTCTCTATCAAGTCACCTCTTAACCTTCTTCTCTCTAACGAAAACAGCCTCAAGACCCTCAGCCTTTCCTCATAAGACCTTCCCTCCATACCAGGCAACATCCTGGTAAATCTCCTCTGCACCCTTTCCAATGCTTCCACATCCTTCCGATAATGCGGTGACCAGAACTGTACGCAATACTCCAAGTGCGGCCGCACCAGAGTTTTGTACAGCTGCAACATGACCTCATGGCTCCGAAACTCAATCCCTCTACCAATAAAACCTAACATACTGTACGCCTTCTTAACAACGCTATCAACCTAGGTGGCAACTTTCAGTGATTTTTGCACTTCTTTACCTCCTGCTGCAGCTGCATGATTACCTTCAGAGACTTGTCATAAGGATGCCAAGGTCCCACTGCACACTCTCCTCTCCCAATTTACAGCCATTCAGGTAGTAATCTGCCTCCTTGTTTTTGCTTCTGAAGTGAATAACCTCACATTTATCCACCTTATGCTGCATCCACCATTGATTTGCCCATTCACCCAACTTGTCGAGATCATGCAGAAGGATCTCTGCATCCTCGTTCACCCTCCCACCCAGCTTGGTATCATCTGCAAACTTGCAGATGTTACATTTTGTTCCCTTATCCAAATCATTAATATATATTGTGAATAGCTAGGGTCCCAGCACTGATCCTTGTGGCACCCCACTAGTTACATCCTGCCAATTTGAAAAGGATCCATTAATTCCAACTCTTTGTTTCCTCTCTGTCAACCACTTTCCCATCCAGCTCAATATATTTCCCCCAGTCCCATGTGCTTTAATCTTGCACATTAATCTCTTATGTGGGACTTTGTCAAACGCTTTCTGAAAGTCCAAATATACTACATTGACTGGGTACCCCTTGTCAACTCTACTAGTTACATCTTCGCAGAATTCCAACAGATTTGTCAAGCATGATTTCCGCTTCATAAATCCATGCTGATTCTGTCTGACCCTGCCACAGCTTTCTAAATGTTCTGCTATAAAATCCTTGACAATAGATTCAAGAACTTTCCCCACTACCGATGTTCGGCTCACCGATCTATAATTCCCTATTTTCTCTCTACCTCCCATTTTGAATATTGGAGTGACATTAGCCACTCTCCAATCTCCAAGGACTGTTCCAGAGTCCAAAGAATCCTGGAAGATGACCACCAATGCATCCACTATTTCGAGAGCTACTTCCTTAAGTACTCTGGGATGTAGGTTATCAGGCCCTGGGGATTTATCGACCTTCAATCCCATCAATTTTCCTAGCACCATTTCTCCACTAATATTGATCTCTCTCAGTTCTTCCCTCTCAGTAAATCTTGCATGCTGAAATATTTTGGGTATCTGATCTGTGTCCTCTTTTGTGAAGACAGAACTCTATGTATTCAGTTGCTCAGCCATTTCTGTGTCCCCTATTATACATGTCCCGTTTCTGTCTGTAGGGGACCTACAATTGTCTTTACCAATCTCTTTCTCTTCATGTACCTATACCTGCTGAGCTTTTCCAGCAATTTCTGGTTTTGTATCTCATATGCCTTCTTACCCACTTTATCCACCTGTCCTGATACGCTGAGGGACTGGTGTACATACACACTATTTACACACATCCCTTTGATCTTCAGTGCTTCCCAGGGTCCTACTTTTCATCATGTATTCCCTTGCCTTGTATGTTATGCCTAAGTGTATCATTTCAACTTACCTGGAATGAATTTAATTTGCCAGTTATCAGTCTATTTGACCAGCCCATAGATATCCTCCTATAGCCTCAGGTTATCATCCTCACTGTTTACTACTCACCAATTTTTGTATCATCTCTGAACTTACTGATCAAACCTCCTACATTCAAATCTAAATCATTTAAATAAACCACAAACAGCAAAGGCTTCAACTCTGACCCCTGTGGGGCCCCACTGGACACAGGCTTCCAGTTAGAAAATCTCACGTCAACTATCATCCTCTGCTTCCTGCCACTCAGCCAATTCCGGATACAATTAACCAAATTTCCCAGGATCCCATGGGCTCTTGCCTTTGCTCTCAAACTCCCTTGCAGGACGTTAGCAAATACTTTGCTGAAGACCAAAGAGACTACATTGAATGCACTGCCCTAATCAACAAAGCTAGTCACCTCTGAAAAAAATTAATCGAGGTGGTCAGATATGAAATCCCTTATTCTTCATTAATCTCAGCTTCTCCAAGTGCAGAGTAACTCTTCCCTCAGAATTGCTTCCAACAATGTCCCCACCAGCGGGGTTAGACTGACTTGCCTTCGGTTCTCTGGTGTATCGCTTTCTCCCTTATTGAATAATAATTACACATTAGCTGTCCTGCAATCCTGTGGCCACACAGGAACTGAAAAGTTTTGCCAGTACCCCTATTATTTCCTCCCTTGCTTCACTCAAAATCTGGGATACATTTCATCTGGTCTGGGCAACTTATCTATTTTTAAGCCTGCCAGACCACTCAGAATCTTCTCTCTGTCTATGCTAATTGTATCACAGACCTGCTCCCTGATTTCTACACCCACGCTGTCCCTGTTACTAGTGAACACTGACCCAAAGTATTCATTTAGAAATGTATGTACATCCTCTGGCTCCAAGTACAAATTACCGTTGATGTCTTTAATGGGCCCTCAACCTCCTCTCATTATCCATTTACTTTAATGTACCTGTAAAATAACTGAGGATCTACGTTGATTTTACCTGATTCTTTCATAACCCCTTTTAGCTTTCCTAATTTCCTTTTTTAAACTCCTTTTACACATTATGTACTCCTCTAGGGCTCCTGCTGTTTTGAGCTTTCGGTATCTGCCATAATCCTCCCTTGTCTCTAAACCCAAACCTTCATATCCCTTAATATCAAGGGATGACAGGATTTATTGATCCCACCCTTTATGTTTATTTGAACATGTTATCCCTGTGCTCTTCCCACTTCCTTGTTGACTGTATCCCACTGTTTAACACAAATTTACCTGAAAGTATCTGCTCCCAGTCCACTCTGGTCTCAGGTTATCATATCTGACCTTATTAAAATCGCCCTTCCCTCAGCTTGATTTCAGGCCCATCCTCATCCTTTTACAGAACAATGTTGAATTTAACTCAGCTCTGATTACTGTCTCAAAATGCTCCCCATTGATACTTCAAAACCATTTTCCCAGCCTCGTTAACTCAGAGAAAGTCCAAGACTGGCCCCCTCTCTGTTTTACGGTCTCCTATGGGCTGGCTTAAAATACTCTCCTGGATGCATTTTAAGAATTTTGCTCCCTCTAAACGTCTCACACTCCGACTATCCCAGTTCACCTTGGGGAAGTTGAAATCCTCTACTAACCCTACACTATTACTTTTACACTTCTCTGACAAGTGCCTAGATTTCTATTAGTCTATTCCTTTCAGACTGTTAGGGGGCCCATCGTACACTCGCAGCAATGGGACTGCTCCTCTTTGTGTTGTACGCTCTGTCACTAACCTGCACACGTGGGTGTACACTCGGTGTACACTCGTCACTAACCTGCACACGTGGGTGTACGCTCTGTCACTAACCTGCACATGTGGTTGAATTGTCCAGACACGCTCGGCTCTGCTCAGCTTCACCTTCACATTGCAAACCACCAAATCTCGGAGGAGGGCTACCACACCTCCTTGCTCGCACGGACACACCAACACACCCATCACACATTGTCCATGTTGTCCACGGGCTCCAGTTTCCATCCACTGGAATGATGAGGAATTAAACAGGGACGGGGAGAGA